AGAAACACAAGAGAAGGAAAAGACATACAATAACAAACCCAAAACAATTTAGAAAATGGGAATAGGAACATTCATATCATTACTTACCTTAAATGTAAATGAATTAAATGCTTCCACCAAAAGACACAGACTGCCTGAATGGATACAAAAACAAGACTGTATTTATGCTGTCTACAAGAGACCCACTTCAGACCTAGGGACACTTACAGACTGAAAGTCAGGAAATGGAAAAAGATATTCCATGCAAATGGCAATCAGAAGAAAGCCAGAGTAGTAAATCTCATATCAGAAAAAGTAGACTTTAAAATAATGACTATTACAAGAGAGAAAGAAGGACACTACATAATGATCAAGGTATCGATCCAAGAAGAAGATATAACAATTGTAATTATATATGCTCCAAACATAGGATCACCTCAATACATAAGGCAAATACTAACAGTCATAAAAGGGGAAATCGACAGTAACACAATCATAGTATGGGACTTTAACACCCCACTTTCACCAATGGACAGATCATCCAAAATGAAAATAAATAAGGAAACACAAGCTTTAAATGATACATTAAACAAGATGGACTTAATTGATATTTCTGGGACATTCCATCCAAAAACAACAGGATACAGTTTCTTCTCAAGTGCTCATGGAACATTCTCCAGATAGATCATATCTTGGGTCACAAATCAAGCCTTGGTAATTTTAAGAAAATGGAAATCGTATCAAGTATCTTTTCTGACCACAACACTATGAGACTAGATATCAATTACAGGAAAAAATCTGTAAAAAATACAAACACATGGAGGCGAAACCATACACTACTTAATAACCAAGAGATCACTGAAAAAATCAAAGAGGAAACAAAAAAAAATACCTAGAAAGAAATGACAATGAAAACATGATGACCCAAAACCTATGGGATGTAGCAAAAGCAGTTCTAAGAGGGAAGTTTATAACAATAGAAACCTACATCAAGAAACATCTCTAAAAAATAACCTAACCTTACACCTAAAGCAATTAGAGAATGAAGAACAAAAAACCCACAAAGTTAGAAGAAGGAAGGAATTCATAAAGATCAGATCAGAAATAAATGAAAAAGAAATGAAGGAAATGAAAGCAAAGATCAATAAAACTAAAAGCTGGCTCTTTGAGAAGATAAACAAAATTGATAAACCATTAGCTAGACTCATCAAGAAAAAAAGGGAGAAGATTCACATCAATAGAATTAGAAATGAAAAAGTAGAAGTAACAACTGACACTGCAGAAATACAAAAGATCATGAGAGATTACTACAAGCAACTCTATGCCAATAAAAGGGACAACCTGGAAGAAATGGACAAATTCTTAGAAATGCACAACTGCCAAGAATGAATCAGGAAGAAACAGAAAATATGAACAGACCAATCACAAGCACTGAAATTGAGACTGTGATTAAAAATCTTCCAACAAACAAAAGCCCAGGACCAGATGGCTTCACAGGTGAATTCTATCAAACACTTAGAGAAGACCTAACGGCTACCCTTCTCAAACTCTTCCAAAATATTGCAGAGGGAGGAACACTCCCAAACTCATTCTACAAGGCCACCATCATCCTGCTACCAAAACCAGACAAAGATGTCACAAAGAAAGAAAACTACAGGCCAATATCACTGATGAACATAGATGCAAAAATCCTCAACAAGATACCAGCAAACAGTAAATTAAAAGGATCATACACCATCATCAAGTGGGGTTTATTCCAAGAACGCAAGGATTCTTCAATATACGCAAATCAATCAACGTGATACATCATATTAACAAGCTGAAGGAGAAAAAAACGTATGATCATCTCAATAGATGCAGAGAAAGCTTTTGACAAAGTTCAACACCGATTTATGATAAAAACCCTGCAGAAAGTAGGCATAGAGGGAACTTTCCTCAACATCATAAAGACCATATATGACAAACCCACAGCCAAGATTGTCCTCAATGGTGAAAAACTGAAACCATTCCCACTAAGATCAGGAACAAGACAAAGTTGCCTACTCTCACCACTCTTATTCAACATAGCTTTGGAGGTTTTAGCCAGAGCAATCAGAGAAGAAAAGAAATAAAAAGAATCCAAACCAGGAAAGAAGAAGAAAAGCTTTCACTCTTTGCAGATGACATACTCTACATAGAGAATACTAAAGATGCTACCAGAAAACTACTAGAGCTAATCAATGAATTTGGTAAAGTAGCAGGATACAAAATTAGTGCACAGTAATCTCTCGCATTCTTATACACTAGTGATGAAAAATCTGAAAATGAAATTAAGAATACACTCCCATTTACCATTGCAACAGAAAGAATAAAATATCTAGGAATAAACCTACCTCAGGAGACAAAAGACCTGTATGCAGAAAATTATGACAGTGATGAAAGAAATTAAAGTTGATACAAATAGATGGAGAGATATACCTTGTTCTTGGATTGGAAGAATCAACATTGTGAAAATGACTCTACTACCCAAAGCAATCTACAGATTCAGTGCAATACCTATCAAATTACCAATGGCATTTTTCACAGAACCAGAACAAAAAATTTCACAATTTGTATGGAAACACAAAAGACCCCGAATAGCCAAAGCCATCTTGAGAACGAAAAGTGAAGCTGGAGGAATCAGGCTCCCTGACTTCAGACTATACTACAAACTACAGTAATCAAGACAGTATAGTACTGGCACAAAAACATAAATATAGGTCAATGGAACAGGATAGAAAGCCAAGATATAAACCCACACACATATGGTCGCCTTATCTTTGATAAAGGAGGCAAGAATATACAGTGGAGAAAAGACAGTCTCTTCAATAAGTGGTGCTGGTAAAACTGGACAGGTACATTTAAAAGTATGAAATTAGAACACTCCCTAACACTATACACAAAAATAAACTCAAAATGGATTAAAGACCTAAATGTAAGGCCAGACACTATCAAACTCTTAGAGGAAAACATAGGCAGAACACTCTATGACATAAATCACAGCAAGATCCTTTTTGACCCACCTCCTAGAGAAACGGAAATAAAAACAAAAATAAACAAATGGGACCTAATGAAACTTCAAAGCTTTTGCTCAGCAAAGGAAACCATAAACAAGACCAAAAGACAACCCTCAGAATGGGAGAAAATATTTGCAAATGAAGCAACTGACAAAGGACTACTCTCTCAAATTTACAAGAAGCTCATGCAGCTCGATAACAAAAAAACAAATAACCGAATCCAAAAATGGTCAGAAGATCTAAATAGACATTTCTCCAAAGAAGATATACAGATTGGCAACAAATGCATGAAAGAATGCTCAACATCATTAATCATTAGAGAAATGCAAGTCAAAACTGCAATGAGATGACATCTCACACCGGTCAGAATGGCTATCATCAAAAAATCTAGAAACTATAAATGCTGGAGAGGGTGTGGAGAAAAGGGAACCCTCTTGCACTGTTGGTGGGAATGTAAGTTGGTACAGCCACTATGGAGAACAATATGGGTGTTCCTTAAAAAACTACAAATCGAACTACCATACGACCCAGCAATCCCACTACTGGGCATATACCCTGAGAAAACCATAATTCAAAAAGACTCATGTACCACAATGTTCATTGCAGCTCTATTTACTATAGCCCAGAGATGGAAACAACCTAAGTGCCCATCATCGGATGAATGGATAAAGAAGATGTGGCACATATATACAATGGAATATTACTCAGCCATAAAAAGAAACTAAATTGAGTTATTTGTGGTGAGGTGGATGGACCTAGAGTCTGTCATACAGAGTGAAGTATGTCAGAAAGAGAAAAACTAGTACTGTATGCTAACACATATATATGGAATCTAAGATTAAAAAAAAAAAAGGTCATGAAGACCCTAGGGGTAAGATGGGAATAAAGACACCGACCTACTAGAGCATGGGCTTGAGGATATGGGGAGGGGGAAGGGTAAGCTGTCACAAAGTGAGAGAGTGTCATGGACATATATACACTACCAAACATAAAATAGATAGCTAGTGGGAAGTAGCCGCATAGCACAGGGAGATCAGCTAGGTGGTTTGTGACCACCTAGAGGGGTGGGATAGGGAGGGTGAGTGGGAGGGAGATGCAAGAGGGAAGAGATATGGGAATATATGTATATGTATAACTGATTCACTTTGTTATAAAGCAGAAACTAACACACCATTGTAAAGCAATTATACTCCAATAAAGATGTTAAAAGAAAAATAAAATAAATAAATACCAGTCTCTGCCCTCAAAGATGTCCCACCTAGTGTAGAAAGCAAAATAGTATATAAGACATTCCAATGCTATGGGATATTGCTATATTCAATTATGCACAATCTTCTATAGAAGCAAAGAAGAGGAAATGCCTAAATTTGTGGGGTGGGGGATGAGGAAGAGTTCAGGAGGAGAGCATAATCGGAGACCATTTTACAGAGAAGGTGACCTTTGAGCTGAATCTTAAAGACTACTTAGATAACAATCAGCTAGTCCAGGGAAGAAAGCATGGAGATGTGAAGATGTATATTTGGATTATAGAAAGCAATTAAGTGTGACTGGATCATAGGATATGTACAACGATTTAGTAGAAAATGAGGCCTGAAGGAGAGACAGAAACCATGTCTTCAAACCATGCCAAAGACAATGAGGAGCCATCAAAGATCTATAAGCAAGAGGGTGAAATGATCAGATTTACCTTTGCTAAAGCCATGATGGTTTCAACGGGGAGGAAGAAAGTTTGGAGGAAGGGAATTATAATAGGAAGCTTTTGCAATGGTCCAAGTAAGAGATTATAAAGACATGGATTAGGAAAATGACGACAAAATTGGATAGAAATGATTGCATCGGAAACAGCAAAAAGTAGAATTAGTAAATCTTGGTAATTTGTTGGCTATGAAATGTGAGAGAGTGGGAGGATTCAGAGATAATACCAAATGCCCTGCGACAGCCTTCAACCATCAGATTTGAATGGTGGCATTGCTTGGCTGTGGCGGCATGGGTGCCCCCTCATTACCCCCGGCCTGGCAGCTCTACCTCAAGGACCACTGCATCTCCACATTTAGGAACTGGCCCTTCTTGGAAGGCTGCACCTGTACCCCGGAGCGGATGGCCATGGCTGGCTTCATCCACTGACCCTGAGAACAAGCCTGACTTGGCTCAGTGTTTCTTCTGCTTCAAGGAGTTGGAAGGCTGGGAGCCAGATGACGACTCTATTGAAGAACATAAAAAGCATTCATCTGGTTGTGCTTTCCTTTCTGTCAAGAAGCAGTTTGAAGAATTAACCCTCAGCGAATTTTTGAAACTGGATAAAGAAAGAGCCAAGAACAAAATTGCAAAGGAAACCAACAATAAGTAGGAAGAATTTGAAGAAACTGCAAAGAAAGTCCGCTGTGCAATTGAGCAGCTGGCTGCCTCGGGACTACTCCACTGTCACTGCCCCACAGCGACACAGACACATCATTTCCAAGGCACAGCCCTCAGCATTACCAGCTTTTCTCTGGGGCCTCTTAACTGTGCCTTAGGAAAGGAGAACATAAACATTTTGAAATTAGAATATTTAAACTGTATTTTTCTTGAAGGTGGTGCCAGGGGCTACTTTTGTTGTACAGCTAGCGCTAAGTACAGTGACTGAGTCTCTCTTTAAAAAAAAAAGTGAGAGAGAGAGAGAAAGAATGTTAAGGTTTCTGGTTTGCACTAGGTGAATGAGACTGGGAACGCTGAAAGAGGTTCAGGTTTGTAGAAGACTGTGAACTTGACTAGGGATAGGATGAGTTTAAATGATCTCCAGAATATATGGTGGAAACATAGAAAGAGCTGGAGATATATGCTCAGAGCTCAGTAAAGTGACCTGAGTTAGATAAATTTAGGACTAGAATAAGAAAGGAAAAAGGTGGGTCGATTCAAGCATTTTAAGTGACAAGACCTGAATTATGGGAAAGAGGACAGCAAAATAAATGTGTCAGGGAAACAATGCAAATTTAGTACACAGTATTTATAGAACATGAACAGACTATGTTTGTAGAAATTCTTGTTCTGTAAGGTATCAAAGAGTAAATATGTACACTATAAGAGTCCTTATTTTAAAAGAAGCTTTAACAAAAAATGAAATAAAAGATGCCAATGTGTTTTTGCAATGTTGAATACAAAGTGCTAAGTATTTTTCTAATAAACTGCTCTTAAATCCACCTATCCCTGCTCCATAAACAGTTATTTTCACCATCTGCCAGCAGCAGTCCCTCCCCTTATAAATCTTTCTTCATTTATTTTTCTCATGCTCAAAAATTGCAGAACAAGTGAGAGAGGGTGGAGCATAACTGCTATGAGCTATTAGAATGAGTGACAGAGCCCAAAAATGGAAACATAAATTTTGACAAACTCCCTCAGCAACTATATACTCCTAAGGGTGTCAGGGACATATCAAGCATGCTTCATCTAGGACTCTTTTCTTCTCCTTTTTCAGAAATTGACCAAGTTCTGATACAAATATGAAAGCATTGGAAATGCAGTAAAAAAGTAGCAAAGATGTGGCACCTTTCAGGATTTGCCTGAAAGAGAAATAGACTGGAGCAGCGGTCTCCAAACTTTTTGGCACCAGGGACCGGTTTTGTGGAAGAAAATTTTTCACACACCAGTGGGGGGATAGTTTCAGGATGATTCAATCACATTACATTTATTGTGTACTTTATTTCTATTATTATTACATTGTAATATATAATGAAATAATTATACAACTCACCATAATGCAGAATCAGTGGGAGCCCTGAACTTGTTTTCAATTGCCAGTCACTGACAAGGTTTTTGTTGTTGTTGTTGTTTATAAATTTATTTTTGGCTGCATTGGGTGTTCATTGCTGCATATGGGCTTTCTCTAGTTGTGGTGAGCAAGGGCTACTCTTCGTTGCAGTGCACGGGCTTCTCATTGTGGTGGCTTCTCTTGGTGTGGAGCACAGGCTCTAGGTGCATGGGCTTCAGTAGTTGTGGCTCGCAGGCTCCAGAGCACAGGCTCAGTAGTTATATCACACAGGCTTAGTTGTTCCGTGGCATGTGGTATCTTCCCAGACCAGGGCTCAAACCCATGTCCCCTGCATTGGCAGGCAGATTCTTAACCACTACACCACTAGGGAAGCCTGACAGGGTTTTGATATGAGTCTGCAAGCAATTTATTTATTATGGTCTCTGTGCAGTCAAACCTCTCTGCTAATGATAACCTGTATTTGCAGCCACTCCCCAGCACTAACATCACCCCCTCAGCTCCACCTCATATCATCAGGCATTAGATTCTCATAAGGAGCATGCAAACTAGATCCCTCACATGCACAGTTCACAGTAGTGTTCACACTCTTATGATGATCTAATGTTGCCACTGATCTGACAGGAGGTGGAGTTCAGGCGGTAATGTGAACAATGGGGAGCGGCTGTAAATACAGATGAAACCTCACTCGCTCACCTGCTGCTCACTTCCTGCTATGCAGCCCAGTTCCTAACAGGCCACTGACCGGTACCAGTCCATGGCCTGGGGGTTGGAGACCCCTGAACTAGAGAATTGACTTGCGTGATTCCCCTTACACAGTAAGTCAAATTCAAGGTCACAGGCTTAGAGAGTTAAGGATTGGCTGTAGGGCAATTGTAGTTTTTCACATGCCATAGAAGATCCCATGATTTGAACACCTCTACTCCCCACAATTTCGCTTTATTTTCACAAAATCGTGGCCCCACTAAATTAACACTGCTGTGACACTAAAAGAGCTGATGTAAAATTTAAAAGATTTTAAACCTAAGAAAATCAACCACACATTTACCCAGATTTGAATTGTATTTTCTCTCTGATTCCCAAACTATAATTCTTTGTTCCTTTCCTTTCAGGATATTCATTTTGGTGTTGAATTCAGCAGCCTATACACTAAATTGTAAATGCTACAATGAAGAGTCACCCTCAACAAAGATTGAAGATAAAATCATATGCATTTCCCATTTTTTCTCTCCTGTTTAAGAAAGTATCTCAAATACAAAAGCAAAACCTGATAAAAATATGACAGGGAGATATTTCCTATGTTATTCAAATTACTGAGAATTTTAATTAGAAAAGTTACAAGTCCCCAGTATATAAATGGCTAACAACAACAAAAAAAATGAGGCAGTCTCATAAGAGAAAATGTAACTAACAAACAAATATACGGGAATATGTTCAATCTTGGAAACAATCAGAAAAGTTTAACAAAGCTATAATGAGGTAATATTTTTACCAATTTAATTTAGATTTTCTTCCATAGTTTTCTGGCATGGTCTTGGTGAAATTAGTCAATTATTCCAGTCTTTTTGGAAATCAGTTTGGCAGGATTTTTCAAGAAAAATTTAAATGTTTATATCATTTCACCCAGTAATTTAACTGCCAGGAATTTATGCTGAGGAAATAATTCAACAAGTTACAAAAACTGTATGCAGTGAGATTTTCTTTACAACACTGTTTATAATAGCAAAAAAAAATTAGTAACGACCTAAATGACCCATGATAGACTAGCTAAATCATGATGAACAACCTTAAAGGAATATTGTGCAGCCACTAGAAATTATCAGTATGAATAACATATAACTACATGACAAACCATTTATGATATATTACATAAAGAACAGAGCACATGAGTATCTTCATTATGTTTACAATTTTACAAAATTAAGTGTGTATGTAAAGAGCACATTAAAACTTGAAACATTACGTAGTGCTATTGGAAGTGATATTTTTATTCCTATGATCTCGTTTTCATAATATTGTTTCTGCACTGATACATTTTTTTTAAAGTACTCTTCCACTTGCTGCCCCCTCCTTTCCACAGTTCAACAGGCACTTGGTTTCTGATCACCCCTGGGATTGTCATATGGACTCCAGTCAACTCACTGCAGTACAGAGGTCACCTCTGGAAAATCTGGCTGCTTAGAAAGCCCAGGCCCAGCTTCCGACTTAGGCTTCTTTTATTTCCTTCCCCAGCTTCCCTGCCAATGGCTCAACCTCCCCTTGGTTTGCCTTTCAAGCAGCTATAGTCATTTGGGAAAACACACGTGAAATGGATTTACTTTCTAGGGTTGAAAATTTAATATATTTGATGTGATAAATATGACTCCTTTATTACAATTAAAGCGAGAGAGGGAAGGAGAGAATAACAAAAGTGGAAATGAGATTCTGAAGTATCCAGGGTGAAACATTTTTAAGTAAACCGCACTAGATCTTGAGCCTTTCAAAGGTCGATTCCTCAGACAATTTATTTCAGAATATTTGGCTTCTGAGATAATTGGTCTTCTTAACCCTTACTGTGGGACACTGCTATGACTCTCCTAAGATTGCCAACGTCACCCATCTGGATTCATAGCATGGACAGGTGTTTTCTGTCTGGACCAAATTACTGTAAGTGTTACATTTGTGGCCTAAATTGCTCAATGTCAGTTTAAATTCAACAGATCTTTGCCCTGTGACCTTTAGTAGGTCTTATTCCAATTCTGATAGAGATGGGAATAACACAGTAGAGAAGGTGCTTGCCCTATGCTGAATGATGTGTATTGAGATTTGCAAACAAACAAACAAAAAAAGACCCTATGATATGAGCTAGAGAGGGAGAGAGAGGAGGGGGAGGGAGAGGGAGAGAGAGACCAATGAAGGACCTATTCTAATAAATTAGATATTTTTGTACAAGTTGTAAACAACCTGTGCTGATTTGTATAACCCTCTTCTTTTGGATTTCCTACATTTTTCATATGCCAAGAGGCTCAAAACATAAAAGTGGTCTTGGCCTCTCTCAATATCCTGCTTCTGACTTGCTCCTGGTTGGTTTCCTTCCACCACAGCTCAACTCCTGAAAGGCAACACAGATGTTAATTTCAACCTGATTTGGTCTAGATACAAATGATGAAGATGGAAAAACACACATTCTGATTTTTCCCCAAGTCCTATGTCGCCTAAAGATAACCCTGGACCCAGAAGCCCCCAAGATATAGATACAAAACACCTGCCATCTGCTCTCAGTTATCTTGTGCTTTCTTTACTTGAGTACCTCAGCACAGCCAATCACCTGCAGCATGGTGTTCACTGAGGTTCTTAATGCTGATTTTGTGGCCCTGTGCCAGTTAAGAAAATGCCTTCTGAATCCTCACAGAAAGAAATTTTCTTCAGCCTGATCTTCATGTTGGGTATATTTTTATCATATTCTAAGTCATTGAAAAATGAAGGATGAATTTCATAAACTGACTACTAACCTTCTAGTTCCTCAACCATGTTGGATATGAAAAAATTTACTTAAGTTTCTAAGTACAATGAATCAGTGGCAGCCTGGCAAATCACCCAAATGTCTATAGACTCTGTTACCAAGCCTTCCCCTAGAGCTGCAGGGTTAATTCAGAAA